ATATATCCGTTGAATTCCATAGACGATGGGCGGCCGGATTCCCTGCGTTGCTCGTTCACGTAGTTCCAAAAGGATTTCGGGTGTAACTTAAATTTGCGCTGGATGCCTCGTTGGAAACTTGAAAAGCATTCACGACTGACGCGCTGGTACATGTGATTCAGCCTCACATAAAGGGTGATACGGTCAAAATTTGGTCAATATCAACTTGACGTATTTCTTTCAATTTTGCATTTAAAAAACCTGAACACCCCTCATTTTGAAGGTGTGTGTGTGTAGAATGTTGCTCCTATTTTGATTTTGGAATTCACTCTTCAGTTGTCAAAATGCCGTCCAAGCAAGAAGAGCAGCGTATCAAAATTTTGCTCGCGCATCGCGAAAATCCGAGCTACTCGCACGCAAAGTTGGCAAAATCGCTAAAAGTTGCCAAATCAACCGTTACAAATGTAATTAAAGTGTTTGGGGAACGTTTGTCGACAGCCAGGAAGTCTGGATCGGGGGGAAATCGAAAACCGGAAGCCGCTGAGACGACAAAGAGAGTTGCCGGTAGTTTCAAGCGAAACCCTAACCTCTCTCTCCGAGATGCCGCAAATAAGCTGGGTGTATCGTCTACAACCGTGCATCGAGCCAAAAAACGAGCCGGACTATCGACTTACAAGAAGGTAGTGACTCCAAATCGCGATGATAAACAAAATACGACGGCCAAAGCACGATCCCGGAGGCCGTACACGACGATGCTGACGAAGTTTGACTGCGTGGTAAGGGACGACGAAACCTACGTCAAAGCCGACTACAAGCAGCTTCCGGGACAGGAGTTTTATACGGCAAAAGGAAGGGGAAAGGTAGCAGATGTTTTCAAGCACATGAAACTGTCAAAGTTCGCAAAGAAATATCTGGTTTGGCAAGCCATCTGTACCTGTGGCTTGAAAAGCAGCATTTTCATAGCTTCCGGGACTGTCAACCAAGAAATTTACGTGAAAGAGTGTTTGACGTTTAGTCTGCTGCCTTTCCTGAAGAAACACGGTTGTTCCGTACTGTTTTGGCCGGATTTGGCATCTTGCCATTACGGTAAAAAGGTCATGGAGTGGTACGCCGCCAACAACGTGCAGGTGGTTCCCAAGGACAAGAACCCTCCCAACACGCCAGAGCTCCGCCCAATTGAGAAATACTGGGCTATTGTCAAGCGGAACCTAAAGAAGACCAAAAAAACTGCTAAGGGCGAGCAGCAGTTCAAGGCAAACTGGCTTTCTGCGGCGAAGAAGGTGGACAAGGTGGCTGTACAAAATCTGATGGCAGGGGTCAAGCGTAAGGCCCGGCAATTCGGATTTGGAAAAGCGGAAGCCTAACTGAATATTTTTCCTGAATTTTATACTAATTGAACTTGAAAAAGAAATTTAATTTGATTTTTTTTTACACGCGTTTTCCCTTGACCAAATTTTGACCGTATCACCCTTTAATGTAGTTTCAGAGGAAGCGTGCAATACTCCGTAAATCTTCTCAATGCTGCTCTATTGATTGACTTCAACCTGCGAAGCTCTCTCGTCTGCCAGGGAGGGTGAGACACTTTGTGGTGAGTTCTTTTCGGGACGTGTCTGTCAATGACATATGCCAAGACATGTGAAAAGGTTTGCGCTGCAGTCTCAACGTCATCTGGATCAAGGTTGTTCTCCCATATTATGCTAGACAATACATCTATGATGCTACGGTGGTCAGCTTTACGGAAGTCATAAGAAACCGTAGCAGGATAGTCGTCGAAATCACGCACGAGTTTGTCCTCAACAGTGACAATTAAAGGAGGATGATGTGGAACTAGCTTAGTTAGTGCACAAGGAGCCGAGGAAATTAATGGAGCCCTATCCTGTGTGCTCACGAAGCAGAGGTCTAAACTACGATCATTTTCGTTAACTACATGGTTAATTTGAGAAAGCGTTACTGTGCTGTAGTTGTCGAGAAGGCTAATAGCATAGAGGTAACTCTAAGACCAGCAGGCCCCGAAGCAACGTGCTCAACTTCTTGGCTCAGCTCTGGTACTATCTTTGGTCCCAAGCTAATCGATGCACCCCTCGGAAAATCCACGAACCTCTCATTTTATCTGTTAAACTTTCATAGCGAATCAAAACAAACATAGTGTAGTACTAGAATTTCGATTAAAATGGGGTACGTTAATCGATTTGCTTGAGACCTCGGGACCAATAGGCTTGTCAAGTAGTGAGCCAATTTAAAATCGTTAGTTGCCACCGGTTGCTAATAGCTCCTGCGTGAAATGTAGAGCTATCAGGATCTGGATACAGGAATCCGCTATGAGATGGACTCCACGAAACGCCTGGCAGATTGAAGTCACCAAAAATGAATATCTGATCAACTGGAGTGGCACTTTCGATAACTGTGAAAACTGACCGACAGTGAGTATCGATGAGTTCATTGTCCCGGACTCGATCAGGTGGAATGTACAGAGCGCATAGAAATAGTGTGCAATCACATAGATTGATGGCTGTCCAAACCTGATCCACATAGTTCCATGAATCGTTCTCGATGGCCTTTGCCTCCAACCCGCCACGGACAGCGACAAGGACACCTCCACCAGTAGATTTACGGCTGTTGTTAGGATTCCGATCGCAACGAAAGACCTCGTAGTCAGGACCGAAGACTTGACTGGAAAGCGTTCGATTATCGAACCACGTTTCACACAGGACAATTACATCGTAGCAACAATCCGATACAGCTAGGCGGTACTCTTCAACATCAGAATTCATTCCACCGGCGTTTTGGTAGAAGATCACGATCTATGCAGGTATAGGGTGTCCCAGAATGTCTAAGCACGATTTTGGAACACCCCTGTTTGTTTTAGATGACGTTTAAAGAACTGATTTAACGGCGCCGGTGGTGTAGTGGTAAGCGTGATTGCCCAGTCGGCGCCGCCGGGATGTTCTGAGGCATAACATCTCTGATCACGCCTTCCTTCGGATGGGAAGTAAAGCCGTTGGTCCCCGATTCATGAGTTGATGGGTCGATAGGTAGGGTCTAGGTGTGGGAGCTGCCTCCCTGGCGTCGGTAGCATTGGTGCTCAGCACGGAAAACAAGATCGACGGAAAAAACAAACCAAAGGAAAAAAAAAAAAAGAACTGATTATTAAGGCTGTGAACCATTTGCCAAGTTAAATTTAACTCGTGGTTAAAAGTGACATTTCGAAAGTTATTTCTTATGTTCGAAAATCCCCGTGCTGTCGATCGACCGGTTTTCGAGCCACGGTCGTCAAAATTTAACTTCTTCTCTGTCAAAAGTAACCACGCTCGGATAGCAGGGTTAATCGATAACTTTTCATCTGTCAAATTTTAACCAAAAGTTAAAATAATCCACCAAATGGTTCAGAGCCTAAAGAGGCTGAATTTTACCCAATTCAGTCTCTTTACTGATTATCACTGTGAATCATTGTTTATATTTCGACCAACAATTCCGTGTATCGCACGGTCGGTTATTTTCATTCCCGTCACAGTGCGAAGCATATCATAAGCATACCAACAATTCCGTGTATCGCACGGTCGGTTATTTTCATTCCCGTCACAGTGCGAAGCATATCTCTGGAAAAGCACAAACAGATCGTGCACAAATGGAGCACTATCCCCAACATTTCTCTGCGTGGAAGGTGTAAGCATCGGAGCAGTTCGGAAGTATGGCGAGGAAGCAACTTTCCAGGACAAGCAAAAATGTGGACGTATACCGAACCCTGTTGACCAAAATCTGGACCGGAAAATCCGTGGAAGATTTCACTCACAAGAAAAGTGCCTCGGTTCGAGACGTGACTAAAAAAGTGGGATCCTCGAAGAGTAACGTCCAGTGGGTCAAGCCTATTGGTCCCAAGCAAACGATTAACGTACCCCATTCTAGTCGAAATTCTACTACTACACAATGTTTGTTTTGATTCGCTATGAAAGTTTGACAGATAAAATGAGGGGTTAGTGGATTTTCGAGGGGTGAATCAATTAGCTTGGGACCGAAGAGAGTACCAGAGCTGAACCAAAAAGTTGAGCACGTTATTTCAGGACCTTCAAGTCTTAGAGTTACCTCTATGGTACTACCAACAATCAATACGAAACTAACGATTTTAAATTGGCTCACCACTTTAGTAGCCTATTGGTCCCAAGCAAACGACTAACGTACCCTATTCTAGTTGAAATTCTATTACTACACTATGTTTGTTTTGATTCGCTATGAAAGTTTGACAGATAACATCAGGGGTGTGTGGATTCATGCAGAACATGCAGGGGTGAGTGAAATAGCTTGGGACTGCTTGGGACCGTTGTTCTGGTACTGAGTGAGCCAAAAATAATAATGATTTTCTTCGGGACCCAGTGGTCTTAGAGTTACCTCTATGGTACTACACCGTTCGTGATGGCCGAAGTGTTGACGACGCGGATAAGTCGATTTTTACCGAAAAATTCGGGTAAAAGGTTATGGTTTGACAAGCCATTTGTGAGTGTGGTATGCTTTCCAAACCGTTTATGACAACGGAGACAATGACAACCGATGTTTACGTGCGTGAGTGTTTAAACAACCGCCTGTTACCAATGATCCGCAAACATGACGCCTCAGTACTGTCACAAACGAAGTGACAGACGGAGCGGCTCGAAAACTTTGGTGACGAAATCCGCTCCTTGACTTACGATTGAACTGATTTCAGATTGTCTATGTTGAACTTCAAGAGAATACTTAGAGAACAAAGTTTAAAAATTTCTCGACTTTCCTGGGCATAGAGTAGTATTCTACTTGCCACACAATTACACTAAAGCGAAAATGGCACAGGCATCGAAACCTCTCAATTAATAACTATGGAAGTGCATCTAGAACACGAAGTTGAGAGCACGCAATGGCAATAAGCTAATATCCGATATGCAATAAGCTTGAAATGCGAAGAAGAAGAACAAGAAGAAGTTACTAACTTCTTACGACCGCAAGGAACGTTCGGATCCATATAAGCTTCAAAACATACCTCACTACATTGCTCTCTAATAGGTGGTATCAATTTCATAATTACCTTCCGCATTCGAATACTCGACCTGGGCCGACGACGACCGGTTACATTCGGCCATATGCTGCAACTTGAGTGCCCGGCTGGGAAAAGCAATGTCACACTTGCGACACTGTTCAAGCCGCTTGCGGGCCCCCCTCAGCTGTCCCAGCAGCACCCCCGGGATGGGTTTCACCCGGTCGTTGGTTCTAAGACCATGCTTGGTCCACATGTGCCGGTTGTACTGGGCGCTGTTGCGTAGATCTTTGTTACAGCAATAGTAGTCCTCCCGGTAGGAGATGCACAGGTGCCCATCAAATTCCTCTTGAGTCGCGTACAGCGAGAGACAAACGCGGCACTCCATCGGCTTGGGGTTGTCGTGGCGCTGCCGGTGGACGTCCAGCTTTTCCTGGCTGTCGTACGTGATTACGCATATGTCGCATATGAAGTGGCATTGGATCTAGGAAAATAGGGGAAGTTAGATATTTTTTTCTCGGACAAGCAGATCTGCGGAAGTGCGGGTTATTACGTGATGGACTCGTTCTACGTGGTCCCGCAGTGCAATCTTCTGGTCGAACGTTTTGTCGCAATGTTCGCAGGGGTGACGGATTGCCAAATGCACCCGTATGCGGTGATTTCGCAGGGCGTTGGTGGTATTGAACCGGGCCGGACAATGTTCGCAGGGGTACTTCCGCTCGTTGGTGTGACCTTCCATATGACGCTTTAAACGGCTTGCCCTGCGGATGAAAACGAAAACGAATACCTTTGTTGGTACTTTGGGACACTTGCATTGAAATACTTACGTTCGGAACATGACTCCACACACCTCGCACCGCTTGTTCCAGTTGTCGTTCGTGTGAACGCTCATGTGTGCCTTTAGGGACAGTTTTGTGTGCGAAGTGTAGTCGCAATACTCGCAGTTGTATTTCCGCGTTTCTTCATGCCGTTCCATGTGCGCCTTCAAGGAGTGCGCACTTCGCAATGCGGCACCACAAATTTCACACACCACCTGGTTCTCCGGGTGCAACGAGCTGTGGTTTCGCAGTTCATCGTTTGTCTTAAATACCAGCTCACAGCCCGAGCAAGGATAGGTTCGATTTTCACGCCTCTCATGTACCGCCTTGTGCCGATCGACAGCCCTTCGGTATTTGGTTTTGAACTTGCATTTATCGCAAGACCACGGCTCTTTCAAGAACGATCCATCCGGATGGATTCTTGGACGTCCCCGACGTTTGGAACCGCTACTTCGACCTATATTGGCAGTGGATTTCGCCTTGGTTTTAGTTTTCTTCCGAAGCGGCTTATCATCATCGCTTGAAGACTCATTCAAGTCCTCCCTTGAGGGAGACACCATGCACAAATATACCTCTGGCTTGGTGTCCACATCACTGCCGGTGCCTTCGGCGCATTCAAAGTCCGGATCATCGCCCACGTCATCCTCTTCTACGTCCGAAAGCTCCTTCTTCTCCTCCTTGACTGCCGTCCTGTAATTGGCAATACCGTACGATTCAAACTCTTCCAGAAGATCCTCGACCTGCGGCTCCGCCTTACTGCACAGCGAAATATCGCTGAAAAGCGAGTCCAAGTCTTGCTTTTTATCTCTAAACAGTGTCGATAGTGGTTCCGCATTGGAATCCTTCAGATCGATCAACGCTTCCATAAACCGAAGCGTCAGGACCAGTTTATTCCGGTAGACGGCAAAGTCCGATAGCTGTTTCAAACAAACTCCGCACACAAACTTAGGCAGGTATTGGATTTTGTTCTAAAAGCAGGCAAAGTTATATTATGCTCCAATAATACTTACAGACATTGCTTTTCTACCTCCGGTACCCGGAACGTAACTTCATCTAGGAAGCTTCCAATATGCAAACTGATCTTCTCAAAACTACCATCCACGGGGTACAGCTCGCTCGGTTCTGGCTTCAAGCACAACCGGCAAACATTCGGAAACTGATCCAGGTTAAATACGCTCATTGCTGGGAGCTGGTTTTCTTCAAAATATACAGGAATAATGCCAAATGTGTACTTAATTCTAAAACAAATATTAATTCTAAAAATATTAAATTTTACCTTCGGATACACGGACTGTTTACTAACAAAAATAATTTGGCGTCTACTTGATGATGAACGAATGTCAAAAACTGACAGCATGATTTTGTGATTTTTGCGCGTTAAGCCGTTAACTGTCAGCTTCGCGGTTAACGGCGGTCAGCTGTTTTGTTGTTATTCGTCGGGTCTGTCTCGGTGTTGGAATTTGTGCTGCCTTCGTAAATATAGTAGCTGGAAATACTGTAAAAAATACTGAATAGTTAAGTGATAATTAACTGGGTAGTGATAGTGAATATAACCCTGTTAAAAAATGACCATTTTCAAGCTGGACAACTTTCCCAATGTGTGCCGTCTGTGCCTGAAGGTGTTGATGGGTGATCAGAAGAAGGAAGAAACCGTGGGAATCAACGGGCACGATAATCCGGCACTGAATGGGAGCATTTCGGAGTTTATTGCTTCAATCACTTTCGTTATTTCCGAGGTAAGTGGGACGTTTTCCATCATGGCAAGGTCGCCCATCCAGGCGAAGGTAAACAAGGCTACACTCTGAAAAATCTTCGCGTCCGATGTACGTGAAAACATGGGTAGTTTTCGTCCACCCTATTTTTCATGTAACTTTTACAAGAATTGCACGTAGCCGAGCAAAATTCAACTTCGATGATGTTCTACGTGATTAGTCAGGTAAATACCTGACCTGATTTCCACGTACTGCTCACGTGAAACTGGGGTGAACATCACTGGAAAACGGGTTTATTTGTATATTTGGTTCTACATCAACAGACTGGGTTTAGTCCTAATGATGGATTAAGCAATATTAGGAAATTCAATATAGTCAAGAAGGAACAAGCTGCGAAGGCCGTGAAGTCCAACTTTATTACTTATTCTTAAAAATATATCACAGCAGTCGACACAGAACTCTGAGATCCTTAAATTCTGTAACAAACACTTTGTAATTTTGACGTAGGACTGTCTTTGTGAACCGAGTTGTGAACTATACTGGGATGCAAATAAAAAAAATGACGTAACGAAATAGTGTTAGGTTTTAAACGCTTATAACTTGGCCATTTATTGATGGATTTAAATTCTTTTTACACCCTTTGATTCAGAATTGATGTAAAATTTGTTTGGTATACTAGTGAACATTGAGCATTTTCACGGCGTGCCAGATTGTTATTGAAAAAACCAAAGATGCCAGTTCGCAGAGTTTCGTATTATATTTGTATAAAAATATTCCCCAAAAAGTATCGTCTAATGAAATGTGAATAAATTGAAAAATTCAAACCCCTCTCTCACTTAGAACAAATCTCACTTGTTACCGCAAAAAGTATGCCGTCCATGCCTGGAAACGCTCCAATCGTTCGCTAAGTACCGCAGCAAAATAATGACCATCCACTTGCTAATGAACGGATTGGTAGAACTTAAACGGTCAAATCCGGTTCCCATGTTGCACCTATTTCAAAGCAATGAAAGAGAAGTACGTTCCGTTCTCAAAGATCTGGACTTGTGTACCACTGATGATGCAACGGTTCAAGATCTATTGAAGGAATTTCCATCATATGCAATAGCTACGCTTGCCGATCCCGGTTATAGCCTACCTTCTGCAGTAGATGTGCCACAAACCTGTGCAGATGATGAAACCTTCGATCCGGATATGTTTTTCAACAAAGATGAAGACATTGCATCAACATTGCTGCCAGAACTCGGAAACGCGCAACTTTTCTATGATAGCTATACCGAACAATCAGATATTAATTCGGAAATCAGTACCGAAACCTATAGCTCGGTTTATACTGAACACGGAGACAAATTCGATGAATGTTCACTGGATCCAGCAGAAGACAGTATCAGCAGCAGCAGCAGCAACAGCAAAATCAAACTCACAGACAGGCTGCAATGCAACAAATGTAAATATTCAACATTGTACGTTCAAAACTATCAAATCCATCAGCAAAAACACCGAAAAATAGAAACTCGTCGATTTCACTGCATCGAGCCAGGATGTTCGGAAAGCTTCAAAGAATACGCAGAGTACCGGGTCCACTGCGTTTCTTTGCATGCATTATACATCTGTGAAACATGTGGTCTTCGCTGCTCCACGCAATCCACTTTGGATGCTCACAAAACGCGCCACCTGACGGAGTATGCCCTAACTTGCCCGTACTGCAAGAAGTCATACAAAAACAGCAACGAGATGCGCAATCATATCAAGTTTTGGCATGAAGCGGCAACCAGTTATCCATGCGATACGTGTTCGATGACTTTTAAACGGTAGCTATAGCGCAGAGGGATTTGAAGTTTTGGACCTACATATTGTCATTTATTTTTTCAGAAAGGACATTCGAGATAATCACCAGCGGAGCCACAAAAATGAGTACCATTTTTCGTGCAATTTGTGCGATAAGAAGTTCAAAGATTCAGCTGCATTGAGAAGGCATAGGATTGAGGTGCATGACAAGGTGCGACACAGCTGTGATCATTGCGGCTACGTTTGCCTTACGCGGTCCAAGCTCCGCGACCATATCGAAGGGATCCATGGGGTAGGTTACTTATGGTCTTCAATACGAGACATTTAATTGGTTCTCTGATCTTAGATTCAGTCACGATTTGTATGTGCAGTGTGCATTTTTACAACCGATAGTCAAGAAAATTTAGATACGCACAAATTACGTCACAGTAATCCGAAAGACATGGAATGCGGGACATGCTTGGGAGTCTACAGATCAACGGCAGAGCTGACAGATCACCTCTGTATTACTTACAGGTATGGAATGGGAATGCTTTGCTTCGTTTATCCGATAATTATGTATTTCAATTTTCCATCAGGGACGACTACGTTTGCTGCAATCGTGATTTTAGGAATCACTACCAATATAACAAGCACAAGCTTACGAAGCATGATGTAAGGATAAATGCACGGGTCAAACCGATACCGGGCGTGCTTTTGGGCCAAATTAAAGCAAAACGGGTATGTCTCACTGGAGATCACGCACGATGCCATAAATTTATCACCATTTTTTTTTTTTTTTTGCAGAAACGCGTTGAGTGCTGTCCAAAATGTGAGGCTGCTTTTCCGAACAAAAATCTCAAAAAGCAACACATGAAAGTCTGTAATAATGAATGAGTTCTTCCGTCCGTAGTGATGTTTTGAAATATGTTGAATCTTTGTTTTTATTTTAATGTTTTTTGCATATACACAATCTTTACAAACAACTCCATTTTGCTGTGGTCGCTGTGGTAAATAAGCTAAAAAAATAGAATTTTCTACGCGGCACCATGAATTTCAGGATAATTTTGTAAACTTAGAATTTCAGAGAACTTCATGAATATTTCAGCAACTAAACAAGAACTTCAAACTCGGAGACGAACCAGTCTTGGGCTGAAAGTCTCCTTAATAAAGAAACAACAACAGCTTCAGAAAATTTTAGGAAAGTTCAAAGATAGTTTTTTAAAGTTTCATTTAAGTGAGTTTCAGCCGTGGGCTAGTTCAAAGAGCTTCGGGATATTACTGAGCCTTAGGGGGCAGAACCATGAGCATTCGGGAAATTTTAGAAAACTTGACGAAAGATCCGAAAACTTCACTGCCCATAGAAGCATATCAGTCCCATCTAAGAAAAACAGCAAGCCGAGAAAACGGCTATTCAACATTTATCTATTCGTAGACTCTTATAGATGGGACAACCAAGTTTTGGTATTTGTCATCATATTTTCTGAACAAAACTTGCGACTTTTAGTGCACAGTGTAAAATACAGGTAGTTTTCCATCGATTCTAATGGATAACTCATTTCTGATAAAAACATCCATATGCTTCCTGATGAATGTGGGCGTCTTAGTGGAATACCTGTATAAAGAGAGAGATGGATTAGTAATTTCCATTTAATTTCACTACCTTATTTGCTTATCCTTAACAGATACGCGTATTTCGTCTACAATGTGCAGACTTCTTCAGTGTCTTGTACTAATACTCGACTGAAGAAAACATCGCATTTTACCGAATAAATATTAACCCAGGTTCATTTTCACTTACAAGGTAGGTAAACTTAAATCTAATTTCCAGTAGGAGCATGTACTCCGCTGCTTACTCGTTGATGTGTCCTAGGCAGTAAGTTGAAAAGCCATGTGTGTCCGGTTCCTTGATCCCTATTGAGTAAAGTTGAATTCCGTTGTTTGTTGATCTCTAGGCTCTCTGCAACATCCAGTTTCCATGGTGTAGATACGGTTCGTAAAATCGTGATGTCCTGATGTCGATAGTTGGTGGTCCTCTGTGAAGATGTGTTCTGCAGCCTTTGATTTGAAATCATATGTTAGGTCTTTTTCCTCTTGATTTTTGGCCTTATTAACCTCCGCTATATGTTCTTTAAATCTAGTCGCTAAAGTTCTCTTGGTTTGTCCTACGTATACTTTGTTACAATGATTACAGCTTATTTTATATACGCCTGCTTTACGTTAAACATTAACTGGGTCTTTAGTGGAACCTAACAATGATTTCAACTGGTTATGTCTACTGGTGAAAACTAAATCTAATCCGAATCGTTTTAACTGTGGTCTTAGCTTACAAGTAATACATATCTTGATCAAATTGAACGGACACTCGTTTCAACGGTTCTGGTGCAGCGGTGAGGGTTGTAAATAATCTACTTTGTAGAATTCTCGCTTTTTTATCGATGTTGCCTGGATTGTGGTCTCCTTGTATCCATTGAGTCTCCACTGTTTCGAGCATGTTCTGTAATTCCTTAACCCATCCTGTATCGCTGACTGGAAGAGTCTGCATCCAATGAATCATGTGGTTGAAGGCGGCCAATGGTTGGAAGTATACGGAACAACTCTTTTGGTGCTTGTTGGTTTCCTGTAAATTTCGAATTCAAGCGAAGAAGATGATGACGATTCCCTGATGACTAGAGTATCTAGAAATGCGAGTTTCCTGTCTTTTTCTACCTCGTGAGTGAATTTGATATCCTTGTGAATTCTGTTGATCTCATCTAAAATTTGTGGAAGGGCTTCCCGTTTAACTACGCTTAAGATATCGTCAACAAACCGCCACTAACGGTATGGTAATGCTGCTATTCATATGCTTCTTTTATAGGCAGTTCAGGTCCGTTCAATTCACTTCAGAAAAATTGCAGAAACTTTTCAGATGTTCCAAGAACAAAGTCCAGAAAACTTCAAAGAAGTTGGCAGTCCCTCTCGCGATTCGGGAAAACAAAATTTATCAAGTTCCAAGCAGTTATGAACAATTTTGAAAACTTTCTGTTAGTTCCATTAACATCAGAAAGATAGCGGAATGTTTTAAGAAGTTCTAAAAAAATTTCAGAAATTTAAAGAAAGTTCCGAAAGCTTCAGTGTAGTTTCATATAGGTTTCAGGAAAATTTCGAGAACATCAGTTGAGATCAAAGTGCTTGATGGCAGTTCTTCAGGAAAATTGCACGAACTTCACCGAATTTACCAAAACTTCAGTTGAGATCAAAGATCTTAAGGGAAGTTACCCAACTTTGATTAGTTCTAAAAACTCAGGGAATATTCATGATTATCAGCAAAATGGTGGGAATTTCAGGGATGTTCCGAGAATTACAGGTAAATTTCGAGCACTTAAGGGCAGTTCCATTAAAGTCCAAAAAATAGCAAGGAACTTCAAAAATTTAAAATGGTCCAGATATCATCGTGGAAATATGAAGAACTTAAGATAAATGTTGGAGTTCCAAGAAAATCATGGAATCACAGAAAACCTCGGGAAGTTCAGAGTTTTTTTTTATGGTTTAAGTGAACCCTACACATATCAATATATTGACGCGCAGGGGAATTATTGACAATTATATTGATGATGTGAATACAGAATTATTGTCAATACCGATGTATTGACGTCAATATAGAATGTATTGACAATACGATTATTGTCAATAAAAGCGATCGTGTAGGGTCCACTTAAGAGAAGTTTTATCAATTTCAGGGCAACTTCAGGAACATCAGCAGAAGAGTTGTGAAAACTTCAGGGAAGTTTAAGAAATTTCAGTAGCGGTCCACAAAAATCGTAGGAACTTAAAAGAAATTTCCGACGAATGAAAAGAGGAGATGTTTGTTCATGAAACTTCTCCGTTCATTCTGCGGGATAGCAGAAATGACGGCTTAGATACTTCTTTACCTTAGAGATACCAGAGGGAAATAAAGTCTTTAGAGTGTTCATTTTTTGCAAAATGATGTTCTGGAATATGATGAACCATCATGAAAAAAATCAACACTCAAGGACTTCATTTACCCTCAGGGTGGTTCCATGAGCTTTAGGAAAATTGCAGATTTTTTTAAAAGTTCTACACGAAACGAAAATCAATTATTTTATTCATGTGTTTCACTTATACATTTTTGCCAAAACATCAGCCTTATACATTCCATAAGACGAACCGCATAGGTCATATAAGAATGCATAAAAGGTATGTGTGGCCGCTTATACATTTCATTTGACACATGATCTTCATTAACTTTTTGCAAGGCGTCTGCTCATTAGTTGACTTATACATTTTATGAATAATCAGCAATAGAAATTTGCCAAAAGGTATAAGGAGATTTCTATCCGTGTAGGAACTTCAGGGATTTGTAGAGAACAACAAGAATCAATAAGTTAAGTGAAGATTTGGAAAAATAAATTGTGGAAACATTCAGGGAGGCTCGGTCATCTTAAGGGAAAGCTCAACGCCTTGAAAAAATACGTTTTGATTTTTCTAAAAATACTGAAAAAAGGTATCCAAAATCTGAAAAAATCAGTTTTTTTCCTGTTTTTGTATAGAAAACTAAAAACATGTTTTGACGTAGGATTACGTCTTTTGGCAACATGTTGGGCGTGCAAATTCAAAAAACCCAAAATCGACCGCGTTACGAAAAGTGGTCAGGTTTTGACCACTTATAACTCAGTCAATAGCTGATGATTTGTTTTCCGTCGATCTTGTTTTCCGTGAGGCAGCTTCCACACCTGGACCCTACCTATCGATCCATCAACTCATGAACCGGGGACCAACGGCTTTTCTTCCCTTCCGAAGGAAGGCGTGATCAGAGATGTTATGTCTCAGAACATCCCGACGGCACCGACTGGGATTGAAACCAGGCCTGCTGGGGTGAGAAAATCACGGTGCTTATTCAATTCCCGTGGGTGGTGGTGTCCGTTCGATCGTCATCAGTAGCAGCAGCAGCACTGCTTTCAGCGCGTGGCGTTGAACATTTTTCTCCAGTACACAACGAAAAGCAGCTAGCTATCAAGGCTGCCCTCAAGCGCCCTCGATTCACCGAAGAAGGAAGAAGAAGCCGCTCCACTACTGATCGGATTCAGTTGCTCGTTGTGAACCGCTGTGGGCCATCTATGCTAAGCGCGTCACCCTCGTTCCAAACAACATACAGCTCGCCAGCCTCATCCGTGTTGAACACCATAATAGCAACAATCAATACGAAACTAACGATTTTAAATTGGCTCACTACTTGACTAGCCTATTGGTCCCAAGCAAACGATTAACGTACCCCATTCTAGTCGAAATTCTAGTACTACGCAATGTTTGTTTTGATTCGCTATGAAAGTTTTTGGCTCAGCTCTGGTACTATCTTCGGTCCCAAGCTAATCGATTCACCCCTCGAAACATAGGAAAATCGAATAACCCCTCATTTTATCTGTCAAACTTTCATAGCGAATCAAAACAAACATTGTGTAGTACTAGAATTTTGACTAGAATGGGGTGCGTTAATCGTCACGACAAAACGGTTCTTTTCAGGACAACCATAAATTATTGTTTAAGAGTTAATGTTCATTGAACGTTCGCTCACCTTGCTGCCAGCCACATCACAATATGTTTGTGTGCAATTTTTTCAAGAATCTATGGATAAAATAGATATTTTTGAATTTTTGATAACGGGTGAGTCATAAGCTGAGTGGTGCGGAGAAACACGAAATGGTTGTCAAAAAGAATCCAACTGGTGCTGTCAAAAAGAATCCAACGATCTAGAGCTGCTAAAAGTGATACTTTTCTCATACAATCCCCATCGGCAGAGAAAGTATTGTGGTCATTGTTGAAAATATTGTCATTTCAGCATTTTTTTACTAATATTCTTCAACAAAAAACTTGTCGGATGTAAACAATGTAACGAACGAACGAACCTGCACGAACTGCTAAAGGAAGAATGCAAACAAACTTTATAAGAGTCATGTGGGTAGGTGCACTCCCAACACCATGTACACGTTATTTATGGAGCAAAGGGTGAACTTTCGACAGCATGTATATGCAAATTGTGAGCAGTGCATTAGCAAAACAATTTGTGATATCGGAAAATTCTCAAGTTGTTTCCTGCTGACTTGCAAAACAAAAACGGCTGTGTTCGCAGTACCCAGGTCATAAGTAGTATAGTCATAGAGGTAACTCTAAGACTAGTAGCATAGAGGTAACTCTAAGACAAGTAGGTCCCGAAGAAACGTGCTCAACTTTTTGGCTCAGCTTTGGTACTATCTTTGGTCCCAAGCTAATCGATTCACCCCTCCAAACATAGGAAAATCGAATAACCCCTCATTTTATCTGTCAAACTTTCATAGCCAATCAAAACAAACATAGTGTAGTACTAGAATTTTGACTAGAATGGGGTACGTAATCGATTTGCTTGGGACCAATAGGCTAGTCAAGTAGTGAGCCAATTTAAAATCGTTAGTTTCGTATTGATTGTTGGTATAGTTGCTATATTCATAGTCTGGCGATCTATCAAAAAGCGGAACCAATTCAATATATTTTAGACCAACAATTGAAAAGGTACTATCAACTTTGTTTAGAGTCTCACGTTGGCACTAGGACCATAGAGGTAACTCTAAGACAAGTAGGTCCCGAAGAAACGTGCTCAACTTTTTGGCTCACCTCTGGTACTATCTTCGGTCCCAAGCTTGTCGAATCACCCCTCGAAACATAGGAAAAACCAATAACCCCTCATTTTATCTGTCAAACTTTCATAGCGAATCAAAACAAACATTGCGTAGTACTAGAATTTCGACTAGAATAGGGTACGTTAATCGTTTGCTTGGGACCAATAGGCTACTAAAGTGGTGAGCCAATTTAAAATCGTTAGTTTCGTATTGATTGTTGCTAGGACGATGAACGCCGTTTTGAGCCGCACCTCTATGGTGAACAGACGCTCGGGTTTGGTGAAGCATTTCCTGTATCACCCTACTATCATAGAGGTAACTTGCTACTATGGTTACCGCGCCAGTGTTCGCGTCGCACCTCTTCACTTTGCTATTGCCGGACTGGCAACATTTCCCACACTACACCACCCAGCTGTGTCCATGTTTCAGCTGGTAGTCTTTTGTTATCATACAGTGTCAACATTTCGAAGGGGCGTAATTGCTTTTGTAAACAATGGCTTTAACCGTCGATTTCTCGTGAATTAAAGCTCACCCCTCCAAATTAACAATGCTAGCTGGTGGAGGAAACATTCTTCTACTTGTTGGTTTTATTAATTTTCAAGTGTGAGCTTTTATTCGCGAGAAATCGACGGCCAAAGCCATTGTTTACAAAAGCAATTACGCCCCTTTGAAATGTTGACACTGATATTACTCAGGGAGGCGTGAGGTAGGAACTTGTGAGGACCAGAGCTAGGTATTCCGCTCCTTCCAGGTTGTCAACTCACCATTCTGTAGCCCAAATTGACAGCTGTGCATTCCGCTAATTGCTAAGTCTTTTTCAAGTACATTTATTTGTACCAAGCAAGTGGTCGCTTAGAAGAGCTAATCAGTCGTATGCTTTATTCCATTAAACTATGGTAGTTATGTCAAGCAGATAAAATTAATCCAAATGTGTTCAATATGCGTCAAAAACGATTCGTCGCTGATTTAAGATCTATATCAGTCATTCTTTGAACTATAATTTAAGGTTTGCACTCGGTGAGAACGTTTATCATATTCTTCAGTTTCTCGTCTAATTCGTTCTACTGCTGTCAGTTCTAAGTAGGGTAAGTAAATCAAGATTCCTTGACAAAGTTTGTCAGTTTCTATGCCGCCAATTTTGGCAAACTGTGCCAGAAATCTAAAATTTTATAGGGGAAAGTGGGGCAGTTTGGCTTTATGAAGGGTCAAAAATGACAAGTTTTAGCATAAAAAGATTTAACAGAAACAATTATTTTCTGTAGAATAAATTAAATTTCAGAACTACTGCCTATTTAAGGCTATATTTGTTAAGTCTTGTGAATGATTGATTTTTTTTTACCAAAGCAGCTATTTCAAAACGTGATTTCATATGATAAAGTCATATTTATGAAAGGAATAATGCTAAATTGAATTTAAGTTGAAACATCAGTGTTGCTCATATTGCCCCGAATGGACTTAAGTAATATTTTGTTAAGAACATCTTTAATGTTATTTAAAATCTAGGAAAACATCGTGTCATAAGAAACTAATGACCATTTATGAAGCTGTTAAAGGAATACCAACGATTACTTATGAGAAACTACTGATAGAACTTATTTTCTAATTCAGAAATTATTAGTTTTGACATTTTGAGCTAGTCTATCTTTTTTCGAATATTTGCTCTAGAGAAAAGTATTTTGTTAGACTTAAATGAAATGAATAGTTGAAGTAGGCTTCAAGCATTCATCCTGCAACAGATTTTTTGTAAAATATGTTCAATAAGTTCATTTTTAAGCGGGTGGCCACATTGCCCCATTAAACATATGGTCCCACTTCAGTGTTCACTCGGCTGTCGACAAAAGCAGGCCACTCTCAATGTGTGCCACGCGATCGTCTGTTTTCTCGGCAGCAACCATTGTGTGGTCCTCCTCATTGTTCTTCATCAGTAGTTCTTTCGGTCGTCGACTTTGGAAAGCAACCGTTTAGTGATGAGTGTGTGAGTACTGACCACGTTCTGCGTCCATTGCTGCAATGGAAGCGCTCTGACCCTCGTTGGCGTAACTGCCATGCAATGAAACCACTGGAAGCGGCTCCAGTTCTGATGGAGGAGGCTTTTTGGATAGCGGAAGATAAAGTGTTTATTGTGTTGTACCTTTTGACTATAGTTTTAAGATGTATTGTATAGTGACCAAGAATCTTCGACTCTATAAAGTTAATTCGTTTGAGCCTTATTAAATAAACCAATAAACAACAATATGGCCCCACTTACCCCTATGAGCCAAAAGTCAATGCTTATGGATATGTTTCTAAAGCGTGATGATAAACAACGTAAACCCAAAAATAATCAACCTTTATTCAGCCATTTTCAACGGTTGCAACAGAGCCAACCAGATCGACGTTGGAGGAAGCCACCGCTATTGCTGGCACTATTTGAGCCGTGCCGTCGCCTTCGGATCCCGCGCAGATTTCCATATGTTGCTTTTTCTGTGTCCTGGTGGCAAATATTTGCTCACACTTGGGACAAGTCTCGATGCGCTTCTGCAAAACAAAATTCAACGTAAATTTCTTCACTCATACCAACTCTGCTTAACCACTCAGTGTAAATTTACCCTTTTGGCTCTCATCTGCCCCATCAGCAGCCCCGGAATGGGTTTCACACGAACGTTTACACGGACGCCATGTTTGATGAGCATATGCTTGTTATAGAAGTAATGGTAACGCAAGTCGCGCCCGCAACACATGTAGTCATCTCTGTCGGTGAATGAATCGTTTTTAGAAGAAAAAAATAGAACAAAAGTTACTTCAGCTTGAACCTACCGATAACTTATGCACATATGGTTATCAAACCGGTCAGCAGACGGAAATACAACCAAACAAGTCGCACACTCAAGCTCTTTAGGATCATCGTGGCGGGCCTTATGACTGTCCAATTTCTCCTGGCTGTCGAACACCTGGACACACACGTCACACACAAACCTGGTTTGAACCTGGAAATATGGTTTCACTTGTTACTCATGTTAACGATTTCCTACAAACACACAAACCCCGTGAACACTTTCGATATGTTCCTTCAGTTTGTACGTAGTTTGGTAGGCATTAGAACAGTAGCTGCACGGAAGCCGAATCATATCGTGAACAATTTTGACGTGCTGGATGAGGCTGTGATTCCTTTTGAATTTCTTGTCACACAACTTACAGGCAACGTTGAGCGTATCGCTGTGCGAGAGTATATGCTTATTAAGAATGGTTTTCCTCCGGAAGATTAGCCCACAAATTTTGCACGGGAAAGTGCAGTCGTCCGAGTGTGCAAATTTAATGTGGTTGCGCAGATCGCCCTTTGTGTTGTGGCCTCTTTGACAGTAGGGACACACGTGTTCGAATTTGTTCAAGTGACGATCCATGTGACTTTTCAAGGAGTTTTTCGAAGAGCACCGAAGTCCACAGATGTCACAGACGAACGATTTATGCGCCACCGAACTGTGTCGTTGGTACATTCGAATGGTATTGAAAACCTCCGTACAACCTGGATCCTTGCAAGGATAGCGGCGAATTTCCCGCTTGACGTGTTTCTGTTGGTGTGTCTGTAAATTACGCTTGTAGTACGTCTTGAAGTTGCATTTTTGGCATTCCAGCGGCGTTTCCAGTTTTCTGCCTCCATACTTGGATTTAATCGGGGGTTTCAATTGCTTAAAAATAGGATAATCATCGGAACTGTCCGTCTCCAGCAGTATAGGACAATCTTTTGTCAACTCGTTCAATTCGTCGGGGGTACATTCCTCGGCGTAGATGACATCCGATTTTGGGTTCACGTCTTCCAAGAGATCTTTGGCACTATGTTTGTACTGTGGAAATTCATCCAACAAATCCTCAACGGAATAATCATCTACGGTGCACAGGTCAAGGTCTTTAATCACCATTCGCACTAGGTCGGATTTACTGCGGAAGAGATCCACAAGCGGTACAGAATTGGAGCGCTTCAGTTCGACCAACGAGTTCATCAACAGGTGGATCGTGGTGATCTTGGAGCGGTACTTGGCGAAGAATCTCAGCAGTTCTAGACAAGGCAGGCAGACCATGCTCGGTAGGAGATCGTGTTTGTCCTGGGGATGGATAGAGAAAATAGCATTCTGTTTATCTGTTAATCTACAATAATTCTCTTCATATGAAACGTCCACGAAAACCTTCTCTGAATAGTTAAATTGCAACGTTGAACAATGTACACGGCCAATGAGATCAACCCAAATTTGAGTTCAGTCTACTCATAATTTCATAAAGTGCAGGAACTCAGCGATGAGTAAATTTGTGGAAAACCTCAAAAATCTACCGGAAAATGAGGAGTACCAATAGACTAAGAGAATACAATCGTTACTTTTCACATATTCGGGATTTTTTCCTGGAAAATCTGGAAAAACATACCGCAAATTCCTGCACTTTTTGCGATTTATGAGTAGCTGAACTCTAATTTGGGTTGATCTCATTGACCTTGGCAATACCCCAACGTGACGGTTTACTTACCTCCGATATCACAAACGTGATGGCTGTGATAAAGTCTCGAATACTCCCGCCATCCAACACGGGGTCTGTCGCACTGAGGGGAACCATCACCTCCCTGTGCAACGGTTGCGAGTTTGATGCCTTCAGGCAAAGCCGGCAAACGTGCGGAAACTGTTCCAGTCGGAAAATGGGTGTCATCGTGGTGCATGCAAAATTCTTCACAGGTCACGAAAAACAAATTAATCAGACGTTAGATTTTATTTAAGAATATTCTATTTAGTTGTTTACCGTTTTGTAAATTTGGTGCGCTCTTTCGTGATGGTGAATTTGTGCAACAGTGTTACGGTTTGTTGTTGTTATGATTGATTTGACGATTTCTGACTGCATAATCCAGGGCTGTAGTCGATGAGAGGATGAGTGATGAATATAGTACAGTATCCCCCCACTAATTCGACAAACGCTGTGTATGAAAATTAATCTTCAATCAGCTCATGTTGGTGTTGGAGAAAGCCTACCCGCATAAACGCGAACCATAACTTGACCTTACCGAAAATGGTTAAAATTTGTTTATAATCCCTGCTAAACTTTAACTGCAGTGGTTATGAAACTTTATATGAACGTTTGTGTGAGAAAACAAAGAATTTTGAATGGTAATGGTTCTTAAATGAGCCGCGCCGGTGGTGTAGTGGTAAGCGTGATAACCTCTCACCCCAGCAGGCCTGGGTTCAATCCCAGTCAGCACCGCCGGGATGTTCTGAGGCATAACATCTCTGATCACGCCTTCCTTCGGATGGGAAGTAAAGCCGTTGGTCCCCGGTTCATGAGTTGATGGATCGATAGGTAGGGTCCAGGTGTGGGAGCTGCCTTCCTGGCGTCGGTAGCATTGGTGCTCAGCACGGAAAACAAGATCGACGGAAAACAACCCAAGGAAAAAAATGGTTCTTAACAACCCATTATTTGTAAGGTTCACTTCCAAAAAAACCATAATACCTAAGGTTAAAACTTTATCACACAAACGTTCATGTAAAGTTCCATAACCATTTTTATTTAAAGTTTAGCAGATTGTATAAAAATTGTTTAACCATTTTTGGTAAGGTCAAGTAACCCGACACACAATTCGTGAAACTTCTTTAAAGTTCTTTATACAGAAATAAAGATTTATGTCGGCAATTCTTTACTTTAAATTTTCTACTAGGGTGAAGCCGAGGGTGAAGCAGATCATGAAATATGGTTGATTAGTAATCCAAAAAATCAACGTAAACGCAAGTAGTGACGTCACTAACTTACTTTTACTCACACAACTTAACCGATTGCTTCACCTCGGGTCCAGCTCATTGGTTTACGTAATACCAACAATCCATACGAAACTATCGATTTGAAATTTGTTCACTACTTGACTAGTCTATTGATCCCAAGCAAATCGATTAACGTAACGCTCGGATAGCAGGGTTAATCGATAATAGTACGTTCAGACTGGAGAGTTATAACACTTAGATAGAGCTGGAATTAGGGCGTAACAGCTTTTGTAAACAATGACTTCTTTCGATGATTTCTAGAAAGTTAAGGCTCGCCAACGCAAATCAACAACACCATCGGGTAGGGGACGACTGCCCTTACCCGACGGTTATGATGGTTTACGTGGGAATGCCTTGAGTTCCTAGAAATCATCTTTAAAAGGCATTGTTTACAAAGGCTGTTACGCCCTAATTCCAGCTCTATCTAGACATGTTATAACGGTTGTCAAATAATTGCAACACAGAAACCACCATCAAGCTAGCGCTATAACATGTTATAACCATAGAGGTAACTCTAAGACCACTGGGTCCCGAAGAAAATCATTATTATTTTTGGCTCACTCAGTACCAGAACAACGGTCCCAAGCAGTCCCAAGCTATTTCACTCACCCCTGCATGTTCTGCATGAATCCACACACCCCTGATGTTATCTGTCAAACTTTCATAGCGAATCAAAACAAACATAGTGTAGTAATAGAATTTCAACTAGAATAGGGTACGTTAATCGTTTGCTTGGGACCAATAGGCTACTAAAGTGGTGAGCCAATTTAAAATCGTTAGTTTCGTATTGATTGTTGTTATAACTCTGTAGTCTGAACGTACTATAAGACTAGAAGGTCCCGAAATAACGTGCTCAACTTTGGCTCAGCTCTGGTACTATCTTCGGTCCCAAGCTAATCGATTCACCCCTCGAAACATAGGAAAAACCAATCACCCCTCATTTTATCTGTCAAACTTTCATAGCGAATCAAAACAAACATTGCGTAGTACTAGAATTTCGACTAGAATGGGATACGTTAATCGTTTGCTTGGGACCAATAGGCTAGTCAAGTAGTGAGCCAATTTAAAATCGTTAGTTTCGTATTGATTGTTGTTATAACTGCTCAGTCTGGACAGCGTTTAACTTTCCATCTGTCAAATTTTAACCAAAAGTTAAAATAGTCCACCAAATGGTTCAGAGCCTTAATAAAGATAACTAACTAGCGTAGTCTCGTGAGATCCAGCTTGGAGAACTCTATATTACTCCTCGTATTACTCAATTCCGGAATGGATTTTAAGGGGAGTCGCTGTGACATCCTTATTCACAGAACCACTTCGAAATTTTAAGTGCACAAATATCAGCTTCTACGACACGTGCAACATTCAAATGTCAAGTGAAATGGGGTACCGATTTTCGATATTTGTGTAATTGAAAATTACAAATGGAAGTGCATGTATAGCCTACGTGGCGGCCATTTGTGGACTCTAAAAGGGATCACCTTAATTCCGTAAATCCCGAGATAAATCCATTGGAGAATTTCATACATTGGATTAGTGGAGGTATACTGTATCATGTTTACAATGGCTCGAGACTAGGGTGGTCTTCTTTTAACAAAACGTGCTATCAGAAGTCAAAATAATGCTGTCAGATTGTTTTGATTTCAAACCTCGCACGACTTCATGTTAGGAGGACTTCAGCAGTTGTTGAATATCAAAAGATCTACGTTACGTTACAGTTAGTGATTTATTTTAAAATTGGGTGCATGTGAGTGTGCCTCGGGGCAACCGAAATGACCACCTTCAAGCTGGGCAAGTTCCCCTACGTGTGCCGCCTGTGTTTGGAATCGGTCACCGAAAAGAAAATGATGATTACGGTCGATACAGTCGACCCGGTGCTGGACGGGACTGCTCTAGATTTCATCACTGCCATCACGTTCAAAATATCGGAGGTAGGAATTTCCATACACTCAAGAAATTAAACAAAAAACCATTACTTAAATCCAATTTGAGCAGGACAAAGCACGTTTGCTTCCGCAAAAAATCTGCGCCCATTGTTTGGAGCTGCTCAGATTCTTTGCCAAGTATCGAATCAAAATTATGGCCACGCACCTGTTGATGGACTCACTGGTGGATCTAAAACGTTCCAATTCGAAGCCAATCCAGGAACTTTTCGCCAGCAAAAAGGACCTTATGACGGACCTGTGCAAAGATCTTGCCCTCTGCAACAAGCGTGAAGTTCTGGTTCAAGATCTGCTGGACGAATTCCAAACCTACGGCTTTGCGTCCATGTCCGAGAACCCCGAAGATGAAAACCAGTCTGAACCAAGTGAACCGGAGGCAAAAAAGTCCAAACGATACACCAGGACCTTCTGCTGCACGGTACCAAATTGCACGTTAACTTTCGACGATGTGTTCTCCTATCAACGGCACGTCCTGGATGGCCACAAAGTGTTCGTTTGCGAAACCTGTGGGATTAGGTGTTTCACACGATCATCTCTGAAGGAACACCAGGAACGGCACTTGCCAATATCCAACCAACACGTGTGCCCTTACTGTCGGAAAAATTTCAAAATGAGCGGCGATCTGAGAACTCACATTCGAAATTGGCACCTGGCGAGCACCACCTATTCATGTAGCACTTGTGGCGTCGAGTTCAAAAGGTAGGGCCTTCTTGTTGGATGTACTTTTACATAAACGTATTTGCATTTCACAGGAAAGATGTCCGAGACTTGCACCAGAAGAGTCATGAAAATGTGTACGACTATCCGTGCACTGCTTGCGATAAGAAGTTCAAGGTCCCGGCCCGTTTAAGACGGCACCACGAAGAGGTACACGAACGACGGCGACACATCTGTGAGTACTGCAGTAAACCGTTCCCGAAACTGACGAAGCTGAAGGACCACATCGAGAGCGTCCATGGCGTTCAAATGCGTTTCGTTTGCGACATCTGCGTCAGTACGTTCCTTTCACAGGAAGAGCTGGATACGCATAAGCCACGCCACGACCAACCAGGTCAGCTCGGTTGCAGCGTCTGTTTGGCCATATTTTCCTCCGATGACGAGCTGAAGGAACATCTGTGTATCACCTATCGGTTAGTTGTGTAAAATTAAGTTTTTGTTTATGGTTAAACTCTCATCTGGTTACTGCAGGGATGATTACGTGTGCTGTGAGCGAGATTTCCGGCAGGCTTATGCCTACAATAAGCACATGTTTCTGAAACACGGTACCAAAACTAATGTTCGGGTCAAACCTGTGCCCGGTCAATTGATGGGAACCATGCGAGCGCAACGCGTAACTATTTTCAAATAATGTGACTCAATTCAATTGTCTTCAATGGGTAACATGTCTTTCATTTGTAGAAACGTATCGAGAGCTGTCCCAAATGCGAGATCATCTTACCCACCAGGGCGAAGAAAAAGCAACACATGGAAAGCTGTGTAGGTAGTGCTCCAACGAACGCATTGTCTGATCTACCAGAAAGAAGTGGTGCGATGGATACTTCGTTGCCAGTTCAAACAAGCGAATAACGTCAACATTCAACATGCAGTGTAATGAACCTACCTAGTCAATTATTAAGATTATTACACGCTTTAAAATGAACTTGTAGTACATTTCCTGGTTCGACGTCCTTAAGGCATGACCCGCACAAACAACGAAAAGGATGGTCACCAGTTCGAGTTATAAACCTTTGTTGCGACAAGCATTTATTACCATACTTTAGCGATGGCTACAGTAAAATCCTAACACTACACGACATGTACCTCCTAAATCTATATTCACTTAATTCACTTTCATTCTCAACAACGAACTATCAATACAATCCAAGGCTCCGTTTTACACCACTTCCACCTTGTGCACGATCTCGTCCGTATCGTAGTTATCAATGTACTCGATCTCGTACGTCGGAGAGACGTTAGCGTTCGGAACTGCCAACAGGGGTGCACCGACCGGCACCGAAACTGACACTGGCAGCACTGCACCTGCTTCGACATTCGACGTTCCCAGTGCTGCTGTTGCTGCAATGGTGGTGGCGGTAGTACCTGGTCCCCGGCACGAAAGCATGTGCTGCTTCTTTTGGTTGCGAGTTTGAAACTCCTGCTCGCATCTAGGGCAACGTTCCGCTTGTTTCTGTGTGTGAGTGGGGAAAATGGTTAGTGGTTGTTTGGATAAATTATCGGGGGTTTGCTGGAAGAGTTACCCTCATAGCTCGCAGTTGCCCTAGCAAAAGCCCTTCGGCGGGTTTCACGCGGACGTTGGTCTTGAGACCGTGAGCCAAGAACATGTGCTTATTGTAGTAAAAGTGAAACTTGAAGTCCCGGTTGCAGCAGACGTAGTTATCCCTGAAAGTGGGTAAAAACAGATTAGTGATTCAAAGAGATGAATTACATTAATAAGTGTCACTTGTAAGTGATGCAAAGATGTAGATCGAATTCCTCCTGCATCATGTGCGCTGCCAAACAGATACCACACTGCAACGGTTTCGGATTCTCGTGGTGAACCTTGTGTTCGTCCAGCTTGTCTTTGGAATTGTACGACTGCAAGCAAATATCACAGACAAAGTATGTTTGGATCTGGAAAGAAGTTTTTCTATTAACCAAAACAAGCTTTGAACTGAAATAGGAAACCAAAATCTGACAACCTATCTGTGATGATTTCAGTGCGAATAGGATCTTACGTAAATCACTTACATTGTGGACTTTTTCCATATGCATGCGCAGTTTGTCCTTCCGGCCGTAGGATATCTCGCAATGGTCGCACTTGTACCGGACGTCCTGATGAACCGACTTGATGTGCCTGTTCAGGTGGGTGTACGATTTGAATCCGTACCCACAGACGCTGCAGGTGTGCGTCCGCTGATTCGTGTGCGTCTTGATGTGCTGGTTGAGGGTGGATTTGGTCTTGAAGCTAAGTCCACACTCCGGACACTTGACCTCGAATGCGTTCAGGTGAACCTGTTTGATGTGCAGCAGCATCTCCGGGCGAGTGTAGTACTCCATCGGACAGTAGTCGCATTTGAACTGCCGTACGCTCTCGTGACGCTTCCGGTGCGTTTCCAGGGCGAACTTTTGCTCGAACGATAGCCCGCAGGTGTCGCACATGTAGTCCCTGTGCTCGAGCCGTTTGTGCTTGTCCAGTTCCTTCTTGGTTTCGAACTCCATGTCGCACCGCTTGCAACGCTGCAAGGATGGGTATTGTTCCCTCCTGGAAGAAAACCGTACTCAAATTAAATAAAAATCACTAAACATTCCCATCTAACCTACTTCAAATGCTTCTCCATATGCACCTCAAACGTACGCGGATAATACGTCTTAAACTTGCATTTGTCACAATACTGCAGATCACCCTTTCTGTGGCCCTTCACCGACAGGCGTTTACCGTGCTTTCTCTGTTTGTTCTGTGTCATCAACGACTCATCCAGCTGAAAATCTCCGTCGGAATCCTCATCCTGCAGCTGACTGTCGGTGTTCTCCAGCATTTCCGACAGATCCTGATCGGCAAAGTGTTCCGATGCATGGGACAGCCGTTCTTCAATCAAATCATTCTCGTACAACTGAACTTCATCCTCGTCATCTTCCTCGCCAGCATCGGAGGATCTCGACGTCTTCAACCGTTTCAGCGGCTTATCATCCTCTTCCGACTCATCCTCTTCAGTAGCAACCTTTCTCGGTCGACCGGGTCTCCTCTTAAGCTTATCCTCCTTCTTTATGATTTTCGGACGACCTCGCTTCCGCTTCACGGCCGTTTCCAAATATTCAACGATCATTCCAGTGTCATCCACCTCCACCTTTATCAAGGAATCTTCCATGAAATCATTGCTTTCATCATCGCGACTTTCATGCTTCACATCGGCCATCGAACTAATGTCGTACTGAGAAAACTCATCCAGCAGATCCTCCAGACACAGTTCATTCCCCTCGAAAATACCCAGTTCCTTCAGAAGCTCCAGAACGTACTCATGCTGCTGTGTAAAAAGCTCCTCCAGCGTCGACTTATTTCCTTTCTTCACTTGAGCCAATCCGAAAATAAACTTCAAAACGTAGTTCAACCGCTTCCTATATGTCAGGAACTGGTCCAACTGTTCCAGACAACCGTCACATATCCCATTCGGAGCCACATGCCTGAATTCCTACAGGAAGCCAAATGTATGTTATTATTCCTCATATCAACAGAAATACTCTAAATCAATCCCACGTACCTCCGGAAGGGGAAAGGTCAGTTCGTCCAGCACATCGCTCAGTTTGTTGCCATGTTTTTTGCTGTGTTCGCCGAGGACGGTCATCTGGTTCTCGGCCTTCGGCTGCAAACAAGCCCGGCAGACGTGCGGAAAGCGTTCCAATTTGAAGATCGTCATCGCAATTGCCGACCGTACCAGTAGAGAAGAGACCCGACGCGTTCGCGCAATGCAGTCGATACTCGGGTATTACTGTTGCTACTTTTTACTGAATTCCGATGTATTTTCAACAATTTAAGCAGATAAAATCGTATTTGGAAATGGTAGGAAAACGCCACCAGCCAAGCGCTCACTTTTTTTTCCCCAAAATGCATGTAAACAATGAAACCGCCGTCAAAATTATTGACAGTTTGGTAAAAAGGGCAAGGCAGGGGTGTGATTGAAGAGTGCGAGCTTTGTTGTGTCGGAGTTGCGGTGGATCAGAATGCGAATTTGTTCGAAGTTTTTTTTTTTCATTGCTTCGATCCCCACACAGAAACAAAATCCATTGGCAAAAATACTATATTGATGGTTTAAATTAAATACTCCCACCAATAGATTTGTGCAGAAACGAAATTCGTTTAATTTGACTATTTTTTCTTTCAAAACTACTATGCCGTTTGAGTCAGCATAGTAGTTTTGACAGAATGGTAGTAAATTTGATTATATTTATAGTCAACTATACTGAAATCATGGTAGATTTAACGGTATTAAGCGTAGTTATACCATAGAGGTAACTCTAAGACCACTGGGTCCCGAAGAAAATCATTATTATTTTTGGCTCACTCAGTACCAGAACAACGGTCCCAAGCAGTCCCAAGCTATTTCACTCACCCCTGCATGTTCTGCATGAATCCACACACCCCTGATGTTATCTGTCAAACTTTCATAGCGAATCAAAACAAACATAGTGTAGTAATAGAATTTCAACTAGAATAGGGTACGTTAATCGTTTGCTTGGGACCAATAGGCTACTAAAGTGGTGAGCCAATTTAAAATCGTTAGTTTCGTATTGATTGTTGGTTATACTGAAAATAAGTGTTTTCTGCAAAATAGTATTCCTAACTATTATCTTTGTTTCAGTGCAGAGTTGATGTTAATAAATAAGAGCATACACAGCAAAAAAAGTTGTTGAATATTACATCGAAACTGCTGCAACCAGGTCAATCCATCGGTTGTGTGATATCACATTGTACGATGTACATCGATTTTGCGAACAAAATTACATCCATTGATATAATATTGTATCTGCTTTTTGCTATTACATCATTATTTCATACATCACCCCAGGGGGTAACTCACTCTGCCACCTTGTGTTTAACACTCCAAAAACACAGTTCGACACACTCCAAACACACTTCCACCAGAATTTTCTATTAATTCTGGCACCACTTCCATGACTGTTTACATTCGATCAAGTATTCGATTGTTATGTTTATAAACAGCAGCTTTGCATCTACGACGAATGTGTTACTCTTTACTCTTATTGGCAAACAGCAACTGATATTCGTAAAACATGATGGATTTTTCCTTACCTTTTCACTCCACTGAAAAAGCCTGAAACTGTTTTTTTTCTGCTCCAGACTTAATTATTTACAATAAAATTATAAAACAAGCAAGGTGAACCTGAGACTGAATTATTTTACACCAGCCAGGACACCAGCAGAACAAAACCCGTCCGTCCATCCGTGTTGATTTTTTTAGAAATGGATGAGGTAAGCTTTTATTCAGCTTTTTTGAAAATAAATTAAACGCACAACAAATTTCCAGGATTATTTCTGGATGAAAATCGAAGCAGTGTATGGTAACGTAAGTCTTCACATCAAGTCTATACTGCAGTTATCGAACCTGGTCAGCATGTCATTAGCAAGGCTGACCAGGGAAGAAATATTGCTCATTCAGAGAGATATGCGAGAGATGGCACAGGACGTGGCAGAGAAGGCAGTCATTGGTGGACCATCTCTAGAAAGTTTGTATGGGAGATACGCGGATCGACCACATGAGTTTAGTTTCATGGAGGGAGAGATCTTGTGCATTCTGGATCTTGCGGATATTGTGCGAACAAATGGCATTAGCCCGTTTTTGAAAGCACGTAAAAAAGTGCGAATCAGGGCGCGAATGCATCTTGGGTCCGCCGAGGAACAAGACGATGAATTTGATGGCCACAAGGAAAAACTCCAAATGAAAATTGAAGCCCATTTCACCAATCCGTAAGTATACAGAAGGGTGAAATTAAAATGAAATTAGCGAATTTAGAATGCACTACAGGATGCACTACTTGTACCAAGCTTGTTCCAAAAAGGTATTTTGACCGACTTCAGTAATGTGACACTTGGTCCTGATCATTCTAAAATCCAAGCTAATGTAGTTGTAACCTTTGAATTTAAATTTTAATTTTCTGTTTCGTAGGAAATATCACTTCGATCACCAATACTTCATGTCGAACTTGATGATTGCTGTGTACCGTTGCCAGGAACAATACCGAGCGGAAATTACTTGTCCGTTGTGTACTTTTTCCGGAAAAAATACTAAGCTCTCAGCAACCGCTGATGCTGCTGGTAACTGGAACTGGAATATATATAGTTTTACGCGGCATGTTGCCCTGAAGCATCCTAGTGGCTCGGATTTGGTTGCGTCCATACTCTCCAAACGGCGTGCTTCTGATGCTGTCAGTCCAGAAATGTCATCTCCTCCGAAGGTGCTTTTGGAGGCGGATGATATTGAGAACAAGATCCCAAGCAAGAGTTATGTTCAGCTTGAGTCGTCTACAGGGTCGTCCATTTCAAACGAAGCTGATGAAGATCCGAGTGTCATCGAATGTAAGTTTATCCGTTTATAAGCGTATCTTGAGAAAAAAAAAGACATTCTATTCTCGCTGTTTTATTTTCGTTATCTTTTAGATTCTGTCGAATTTTTGGAGGACATCCAGGAGGACAGCCCTGATAACAAACATGAGAACACGCAAGGTATCTCTGGCGGCAGACAAAACGACAGCTGTGAAGATATTAATCTTCCACTGAAGAGTGCGGAAGGTATGAATAATATTTAACCACAGACAAACAGACGTAGCTCTTCATTTTGTATCATCGTTCATGCGTTTAATGATTGATTTGAATATTATCATTTGAGCGAACTGCTCACCGGTACAATGTTTTCAAGTAAAACTTATTCAAAGAGTTACGTCTGTTTGTCTGTGATTTGACTTTATTTTTCGCATACTATACAATCAACAATTTCGTTACACTAGTGTATTTAGTGGCACACCATATGGAAGCCAAAGGAAAAAAATACGAAGAAGATGCTGGCGAAGATCCTTTGCTGATTCAATGAGATATGATGTGTAGTTTTGTTTGTTTGGCTTTACAATTTGAGTAATCTGATATTAAAGTACATGATTCGAATCCCTACTTGTTTTTTTTTTGTCACAGTAACATAGAATTCACACCTGGGTCATATATTTTTTGAAACGTTCGAGTAGAAAAGTTCGAAGTTTGGCGCGTTAACTTATCTGACTCGATCTCCAGACGTAAAGTAGTGTTGTTGGCCTTTAAAATTTATATGAATTGGAGACAAAATGAGGGCACTTTTGGATACCTACGGGCACTTAGATAGAATTAGAACCAGTGACGCTTGCAGTGACGTCTTGGTTACTTCACTGCACTTTGTTAAAATTCTGGGATATTCTTTTAACTGTACGGCTTTACATATTGGACCAGGAATTGTCTGGAATAGAAATAAAAATCTGACTTTTATTCGTTGATGTGGATTTGATGATAATATAGATGTGGGATGTGGATGTGTCGTTGACCCTGTATTGGACTTGGAATAGTTAAGGGAATTCCGTAGAAGTTCATTTTTTTTTATAAAACGTCAGGGTACTTCGCTGAAAATAAAATAAAATTCTTCGTTCGGCAAGTGTTATACATCGTTTATGAACAATTTTAACGTACAGTTATAATAAAATTTCTTAAAATTTATTTTATTTACATAATCCATTGGAAACAAGATTGGAAACATTTCGGTTTGCAAGCATCGGTTTGCAATTGCGTCTCCTTTCATCATTTTAGGACCACCGAAATCATCTTAGCAACAAACAGTTCGATTTATTCATTTTAATAATGAGAAAGTGAAACGACGAACGTACACTTTTCACGGGTTTCTCAGCGCTGTTACTTAAGTCAAACGGCATCTCCATAGAAATTGGGTGACTTAAGTAACATCGAAAACTATTTTGATCGGAAGGTGATTACGTCAAAAAGCAATTTGACTGGTAAATAAATTTAAAAATGGGATGTGATCAGGTACAAAATACACCAAACTTAAAAATACATTAACACGAAAAAAATACAAAATACACCTTTTCAAGTCGGATAGATGAATCGAAAATACTCAAGTTGACAGGCCCAAATTAACGCGCCGGCTCGCAAAAGCATCATTGGTCTAACGGGATTGATTGTTAACCATAATCAACTTTCAGTCACATGCAAAATACGTATATTAATTGGGTACTATATTACAAAGGTACCTAATGGAGTAAGATCATTGGTTTCCACCTCGGTACAATTTTTTTTTCTAATGCGCAATAAATTTAAAAAAAAAATCTCGTCACCCTAATGCACTTGCCGTGCCTCCACTCCGACAACTGAATGTGACTCTGGCTATTTTCCACACACGCACACAACGATCATTTCCAACTTCAATTTTGTTGCGGCATCTGCTCTGTGTGGCGTGTTTCTGCGTCCGGTCGGTCGATCGGTCGGTGCCTGTGTTTGTGCAATGGGAGCCTGCTAGCTATAGCCAATGAAATGTAAACAGGTGAGGCTCAAAGAATTTGTTGTCTCTTTTGTTCCTTTGCCGTTTTAATGGATGATGAACTATGACGTCATACCCCGTACACAATTTAAACTGCGGGAGAACGAAAGCGACGACGACTTCCAATTGCCACACCTGTTTACACTCGTTGAGCTACAGTCGTCCACTTTGTCGTCGCTGCGATCATCATCATTCACTCCGAGCCAAGATGGAAGAGATGTCACTTCGCGATTAGTGGTGGACCAAGTCAAAATGATGGAAAACTAGTACTTTTTGGGACCGCAGCCGGTTTCAGCAGTGCTTATCGAGTGTTTCGAAGGTTTCCCCTGCCGCTAGGTGTCGAAAGTGTCCAGTGCGAAGTGGAAAGTGCATAGGAAAAGTGATTTTACGGTGGCCGTATCGAAGGTGAAAAGTGAATATTATAATCAAGATTCCGTATTTCGCGAGTGTTGGCCTGAAGGCGAGGATTCCATTTTTCCTTTCCCGAGTCGCTCGGAACGGTGCGAAGGAGCAGGAAGAGAAGAGCCGTTTTTAATTCTTCGTTGTGTGCGTGACATATTGCGACGGTGTTGCGCGTTCGGTGTATTTTTTTTATTCGATCATCAGTCGCCCGGTTTCTAGTGTTGGTGTGATATTCGAAACGCTTCACGGCAAAAATCGCGAATCAAAAAGGAGTTTTTTTTTCTCCTTTGATTGGAAGTGTGAAAGGGTAGTTGAGTAGAAGAAGGAAAAAAAAGGGTGAAACACACAGAGGAAGAGAATACGAAGCCCGAGGGGGAGGCGGTGAAGGAGGACGCGCAGTTAGCCGTCCGTCGAGTGAAGACGGGTTTTGGCCGTAGCGGTGTGGTCGTGCCGTCGTCGCCCGCCCGGTTGTCTTCAGCAGCTTCACACTGCCTGGTGAAGTGCTGGCTTTTATACGGCTGATTTTCGGATTTTTTTTTTTGCTGCTGCTTGTGGTGCCTACTGACGACTCTGACTGTTTCCAAAACCAGTAGCCGCAGTAGCTCGGTAGAGTGGATCGCGGATTTGACATCGCTGGCTCACATATGTATTTGGATACGATCAGCAGCCTGTAGCAATAACGCAGTAAACTGGTAAGTTATCTAAAGTCTTACATCTTGTATTTTTCAATCAATGGGTAGTATATTCGGTACTTAAGGAAGTGATGTTTTTCGTAATTCGAGCGAAAACTTGTTTGTGGACAGTTTCGTTGATTTTTACAAAATCGCTTTAAAACAACGTTTGATGAAAGGAACTTAATTTTATAGGGCAACTATTTCATAATTAAAAGAAAGTAAACTATGAAGCTTCTAGCCATAGGATGGATGACAGCTCGTGCTTGTCCCGTAATAACATTTATGGCTACCTAGGTATGACATGGAACGGGACAGTAAGTCGCTATGCTGATTGTTGGAGTACTGATGAAGCTTAATAGTTTGCTCTTTCTTAATTAGTAATTACGATCCATTGGTCACTTATTTTTCTAAGCAGGTCAGCGAAAACTAACTACAGTGAACTCTCCATAACTCGACGGAAATCCAGGCTACTTCGAGCACTTCTATCGATATCGTTCCTGATTTGATGATCCCTTCAATATAATAGTTATGCCGCGGATACACTTGTATGACCTAAAGAGGCTAAATTTATAAAGAGACGACATGTCAAAATTGGAACAATCGAGTGTCTGTCAATTGACCACTTTGTCAAGCAGTTTTGGCGTGACTTTCTACCAGCGATTTCACAAAACTGGACCAACTAATTTCTATTTTTTTATGAAACGCACAAATGTTGGCTACTTTTCTCGAGGTTCTAGAAGAAAAACTCTCAAAATAATGTTTCATTTCAAAGTTCGAGTGGTAGTAAACGTCATTTTATCTGCTCGAATGAAATGGTTAATTTCATAGGAAAAGTCATTCCAATCGAGCAGAAGACCTGTCAAATGGATAAGATGTCGCCTCTTTATAAATTCAGGCTCTTTAGTATGACCTACTATGAGCATGATCATTATTTCTCGATTACTTTTTCGAAAGGACGTAAACAATGCATTTGATCGTCGATTTGGCGTTGCTGACAGCTCACCCAGGCAAGCTAACACTACCATCAGATAGGGAAAATTTCCCCCTACCTGATGTAGAGAATAGGACTAATATATCGGTTATAACAATTCATTAGAGATCAATAGTAGGCTAGTTGATAAAAAGGACACAATAAATCAGTCTTAAGAGTGAGTTCGTAACGAACGGAAGCAAAAAATAAAAAGTCGTCTGTTTAGTGAAAACTAGAAAAAAAAGAAAGAAGGTTCCAGATAAAGCCGCTTGGAAATGGATGGTCCAGAAATTGAGTCCGGTCACGACACCTGATAGTAGATAGACGATCAAATTCATTGTTTACAAAAACTGATACGTCTTTTCGAAAAAGTAATCGTATGTATAATAATTATGAGCACTATACAACAACTATACAAAAACTATAATTTATTATACAAATAATGGTCATGTTCAAAGTTTGTGATACAAGTGTATCCGCGGCATTAGGGAGATCAAGTTAGGTCAGGTCATATGGTGATGAGTTCCATCGTAAATAAATTTTATTGTTTATTTTTTTGTTAAATCGGTAGACAATTCGTTTTAGCAAGCTAGAGCTGATTGATCATATGTTTCCCTGAAAGCTTATAGAAATATATAATAGAATCACAGACAAACAGACATATCACTCGCATGCTGTTCATGGAACATGCATTTAACGGTGGATTTAAATCTTTCTTAATTGGTAGTACCGCCACCTGTGGCGCGCATAGTCAATTCACGTGTGTTTGACTTTACACACTACCGTCATCTGTTAAGCGTACTGCCCATGACGGTGTATTCAATAGATCGCGGTAGTGTTTTATCGATAATCATTCCCAGTGAAATATATTCAATGCCTTATGTCTATTTATCTGTCGCACAACTGATAACTGATATATTTTGATAAATATTTCGTCTTCAGTTTCAATTTGGAACACGAATAGTTAAGTGAGTTGTAGTGCTATAAATCAATTGATTGACTATTTTCATTGCAATCTACTCTCCTGTATGAAGACAGATGTTTGCTTAATTTGTTGAGATGAGCACTATTTTTGTGAAGATTTAAAATCTCTCTATGGTCAATGCTTTTTCTAAGGACTATCTTAAGTTCAGCCTGTCCACATATACCAAGTTTTGTCCAATAACATTTTTCAAACAAACAATCTTCCTTGAAATAGGGAAGCCAAGTTGTTGAGCTGGGTCGTACTTTCTGACGGTACGCCCCACGGATCATTCTTAAGTGCCCTGTTGCTTAGCCCGGTGCTCTAAATACGAATATCATCTCTACGCAGACGACCTTCAAGACGTAACGAATAGGCTCGTCGAGTCAATCAATGAAGATCTGCTTGCTATCGAAATTCAAGCCACTGGAAATCATTTCTTTCCCAACCCAAAGAAGACGCAAGCTTATAGTTTTCTGCCGAAGCGGTGCCACAATCCCTCAGAATGACATCCGTTTCTGTGGCCAGACTATTGCTTTGTCAGACAAAATGAAATGGACCGATCAAATCTACAAGGTTACAAAAAAGGTCTACAACAGTGTACTTCCCAGGACTGTCAGCCGCTCTTGAAGTGCGACACATCGTACTACCACAGACAAACAGACGTAACTCTCGCAAGTTGTTCATCGAACAAGCATTTAACAGTAAATTCAAAAGTATCTCAGTTGGTAATACCGCCACCTGTGGCGCGCATAGTCAATTCCCTTGTGTTTGACGTTTACACACTACCGCCATCTGTTCAGCGTACTAGCCACCACAGTGTACTCAATAGATGACGCTAATGTTTTAGCGACGATGTTCTACAGCGCGAAATATTGAATGTGTTATGTCAGTTTGTCTGTGCTACTACCGTCGTATCCTGTTGGCTTATGTTCGGAGCCTACCATGGGAACCGTCCAGAGTACATTAGGAAATGCACACCTAGGAGTCGGAACGAGTGAGCTTGGCACCGCAAGTGCCCGATTAAGTATATTCGGATCGGATCTACCGAGAACGCACTACCACTACTAGCTACAAGGTATCTGGAGTTTTCAGAACTTTTTGAAATCTCCAAAACCTCACAGAACTCCCCGGACATGTTTTATGAAATAATGAATAGGAATTTTTCGGATTGGAAAATTTCCCGACTTCCCTGGGCCACACAATTCAAGAGCCACATGTGAAAAGAGCATATAAGCTTTTTGTAAACAAACCAACAACTTCATCGGGAAGGGGAAAGTTTCCTCTATCGGGTGATGTTGATGGTTTGCGTTGGTGTCAAATGGGTGGCGAGAAAAGGGCATAAGAAGGTTTGTTTACAAAAGGTTTGTACGCCCTTTTCACATATTGTGCTTGAATTATACTAATGCAATAATGGTACAGGCATCGCAAGCTCTCAATTAATAACTGTGGAAGAACACTAAGTTGGGAGCGCACAATAAGCTAATATTCGATAAGCAATAAGCTTGAAATGCGAAGAAGAAGAAGAAGAAAACCCAGATGGCCATGGTGTCTCTTAAATATAAAATTACTAAAACAAAAATCAGTATCGCTGAAAAACCCACCAAACGAAAGGTTAGGTTTGCCCCTTTCTTGTGAGGCTAGTATTGAAATGTTCTATCTCTAGAACAATTATTCTAGATATAGAACTGGAATTAGGGCGTAACAGCTTTTGTAAACAATGACTTCTCTCGATGATTTCTACGAATTCAAGGCACGTTCACGCAAACCAACATAACCATCGGGTAGGGAAAGTCTTCCCCTATCCGATGATGATGTTGAGTTGCTTGGGTGAGCCTTAACTTTCTAGAAATCGTCGAAAGAAGTCATTGTTTACAAAAGCTGCTACGCCCTTATTCCAGCGATATCTAGAATTTTATTTTTTTTTCGTATTTTTCAGTGTAAGTCACATCCAAATAATATTTGTCACGCCCTAAAAATGTGTGTCTCAAATGAAAGAGGGGTACCTAAGTCTTGGTTTGGTGGCTGTTCCGGCGAAACTGATTTTGTTTTTATAATATTATTATTGTACAAGAACACCGTGGATCTATGAAGCACACTTAAAGCAACACAAACGTGAAAAACTTAGAACAAACAATAACGAAACAAATGTCAAAACTGAACAGCAACTAGGCTAAATTACTTGAAATATAAGAACCAATTGTAAACTCATAATGATTCAGTTGCGTCGCGTAACCTCACTTTTTATCTGTTGAACAATTTTGAAAACGTAATTTAGAGCCATTATCTATATTCAAATTTGGTCCCAAAATGCAAACACTAAGAAAATTTCAAAGAATTTCGTCAATAAAATGTGTGGAATTTCGTGAGTGTAGGATCTTCTAGTTTCAGAGATTTGTATCGATTTGTAAAGCATTATTTATTTGTTTACGTTTTGAGAGTTATTGAACAAGTAGATTCAGGTTAGGCCGACGCCACTGTAATCAATGAAAATAAAACATCGTTTACTACCTACTACTATTCCGAACTCCGCTGAACCTATCTGTCATTCGCCAGTACCAGAGTTTCACCGTATTTTTGGTTTCACAAACACTGAGAGGACAGTTCACTAACTACTCAATAAACACACACACACACACATACGAATCAACTCTAGACTAACATTTGAAAAAGGCGGAACTCCAAAACAACCATATCGAGAAAATCGCTTCCGAATTTCGATGACCTAAAAATTAATCCTATTTCATGACTTTCCATTTTCTGGATGATTTTATAAGCTTGACATATAGTTAATAGTGTAATCTATCATCATGCATCACTAAAAACTAAAAAAAAGTTTTCTTTGTCGTGAAATTGAGAAGAAAACATCATACGCCCTGATAATTTCTTACATGTTGTTACCCCCCGGATCTTCCATCCTTTGAACTGCCAACACTGGTGATACGCCGTGGAAGTACACGCATTGGGATGTTTTGTTTGTTGTTCCGCCTTGGTTCTTCGTTCGCAAATTTTGTGAGAGTGGAATTACGCCCGGAGATTTTTTGGTCTTCTTTTTGTTCGTTGTTTACAATGTGAAAATTGTTCAAATCGGTTTGATCATCTCTCTTTACCAAACTCCCCCGTTGAAGAGAGATGGTGAGGGGTATTCCCTCCTGCCACCACTGGCAAAAAGAGATGATCGCCGACTCGCTTATGTACCGACGATGTGTTAGGTTGAAACAGTTCTACCGATTTTTACCGCACTCAAGTTGTTATCTGAAGGAAGGCATCCAGTCGTAGGTTTGGAAAATGCAGCTATTGTTACCTCTACCACGGTATGTGCTAATGTCATCGTCGACTTTCATCTCGAAGGGACGCTTTCTACTCTCTATATACAATTTTCACACTGCCGTACTCTAACGGAACTATCATCTATCGTATAAAAATTACCACTTTAGTCTGTTATTTGAAATTAGCATCTTCAACTATGATTCTATTATTTAAATAGCTTTTGAAGAAGTTTATCATCGACTTGCTTTAAAACTTATCATTACGTTCAAGCTTAAACTTTCAACCTAAAAAGTAAAGTAATCAATTGGATTCGGCGACGGTGATCGCAGAATCGAGCGAAAATTGACAACTGAATATAGCGTGGCTAATTGCTGAGTCGTTTTCAAGTATATTTATTTGTAACAGGTAAGCGGTCGTTCAGTAGATTCGTTAGCTGATCAATCTTCCTAGCATTAAACACTATGTTTTAAAAGATAAAATTAATCCAAATGGGGAAAAATGCTTTCTCGCTGATTTTATAGCGTCAGTCAGATCTTCAGTTCAGTTCAGCCCTTAATCTACGACTTTACACTCGGTGAAAACGTTTTTCATATTCTTCGAGTTTCTCACCTAATTCGTTCTTTTGCTGTCAATTCGGAGTACATGTGCAATCATCGGCTTGGTAGAATTAACACTTGTTCAACTTTGGTCGAGAATGCTGCAACACCGCACGAGATTGAATGTGGAGCGATACAGACAAGCACGGAACAGACAAAATTCGGTTTTCCGAAGGAAGAAGCTTCAGCAAGAAGACCGAGATCGCGAGGGGATGGAAAATCTGTAGCACGTAAACGACACACGGAAGTTCTACGAGAAGCTAAATAGTTCGCGCAAAGGCTACATGCCGTAAGCCGATATGTGCAAGGACTTGGACGGTCACCTTCTCACGAACGAGTGTTGGATTGTGCCTCCTACGGACATTTTTCAGACGGATCAAGAACTGCAGATCGTTATCTATTATAGTTGAATCGAATTTAACCTCTCATTTCGGTACTGATACAGCTCTTGCTTCAACTATAGAAGTAGTCTGAGATTCAAGAGCATACGTTTTGCAAAGGAATGTTTCGATCAAAGCTATATTCCATAAAGTAGAGCTGTTGTTGGGATTAGAAATTATTTCTTGGGATATTTCAAAAGTTACGGTAAGGTGATCAGAACCGAAGTCAGCATGGGTAACCAATTGGCTACAAAGTTGACGTGAATCAGTTAAAACCAAATCAATAGTTGAGGGATTTCTTGCTGAAGAAAAGCATGTTGGACTGTAATATTGAATAGTGTAATAACCTGCCGTACAATCATCAAACAGAATATTATCACTGGAATTGATCAGCTGCCACTGGAGCTTTGAGTTCTCCCAGAAGTAGTTTTCGACTTCCTTTGAAAGTATCCCCAGACTTGCCCGTAGGTGTATCCTAACTTATACTGGAAGCTTCTTCCGAAGTTCTTCTGGCTTCCCCTGCGATTGTCTTCCGATTTCCCGAAAAATTGCAGTCGACATTTTTCAAAAAAATGTTTGTTGCTTCTGTTTTTGTGTTTTTCGACCGTTTCCGACAGTTCGTCCAGACATTCCGTAGAAGTTTTTTTTAACTCTCCCCGAAAATTTATTCCAACTTATTTCAAGAGAATATTTGCTTTCTGCATGAATTACCTTCTGCCTTCCTTTACATGTTTTTTTTTTCAGATCAGCCGTTCCTTCCAACTTTAATTGATTTCCTCATTCTATATACTCTCCACTTCAAAATTTCCCGGATATGTTTTCCCATTGGATGTGAATTAAATTGTTTCGGGAATTCCTTCTTAGCATGTCTTTTGTGAAATAATAGTTATTTCCCCGGAAACCGAATCCAATTCCCGGGAATCAGGAAACGTTACTTCTGGGTAATTTATCAGAAATTGTTTCTCGGGATGACCTGTCTAGGAAACACCAATTGGAAGATAAACTCCAATAAGTCATTGTGGATATGTTTCGAACATTCCAATGATAATTGATGAATAAAAGTAAAATGGTATCAATAATAAATCTGTTCGTAAAAACAGTGTTCTCGATAGGGTTAATGTCAGCTTCGGCATCCATTGGCTGTTTTCAGCAACCAAAATTTAAAAATTTAATTTCACTGTATTTCCCTATCAAAACACTTCGTTCAATGCAGTGGCGTCGCCCTAACCTCAATTTACCTATGCACCAGCTCTCAGAACGTTCACAAATCTCAAATATTACTTGTAGATAAATGTAGTGGATAAATATTAGAAAACTAAAAGGTTCGGTGTATTTTTAAATCGATTTGAATGTAATTATTGCTAGATATCACGATTTTAAAGTTGGTGCACAGATAAAAAGTGAGGTTACGTCACGCCTTTGAATGTATTCATACGATTCCTTCAATCTGATCACATTTTTACGACTGAGCAATCCTGTTATGCCAGATTCATTAAAATAAATAAACGCACTACAACATACGGCTGATTTCGATTTGTCGGTAACAGAATAGCTAGTTAACAAGCAGTTGAAATGTAAAGGTTGCTGAAGAAAAAAGGCTGCCGACAATAGCCACACTCACCTGAAAAGTTTGGAGTGTTGTAACAATGTTTTCAAACTATTTTGGACAATTCTGTCAGTTGGAATGGATCGAGAAGCAAGCAGCAGATAAATGTAAACGAACAAACACGTAATATGTGTGTGTCACGCTGAGAAAATGGTAATAGAAATGCGGATGATGCTGAGATTGACGAGAATACGTAAATTCCCCTCAGTAAAAATTGCCAATCTTACTATTTTTTAAATCTGTTCGATTTTGACATGGTGCCAAAATCAAACAGATACTGTATTACTGATTTTTCAAGAACAAATTTATGGGATGCTTAAACCATTTGCAGGGCTGGTAGCGAGTCACTTTTTTCAAGCCAATCACTAAAAAGTCTATTTTTTTCTGTGACGTTTAATCGCTTTGTGACGTTTAATCGTCTTTCTCTATCTGCAGAGTGTATACTCATTATTCAAAATAAAATACCTTAGTTTTCCAGTTTTTTCCAGAACTTTAACTGATAAATTCCAGGCTTATAATAAGAAAGCTATTTTTAAATGCGTTATAAATATGTTTTTTTTTTGTAGATAAAAAAAAACAGCAATTAGCCCATACGTTTTTAAGACATGGCAATCAGTTTTAAAGAAACAGTTTTACAATCAATTCCATTGATCATCAGTGTTGAAGTTGATTACTTAGGGTAAATTATGGCTTCGGCACCCATTGACTGTTTTCGGCAACCGAAATTGAAACGTTAATTTCACTGTATTTTCCCATCAAAACTCTTCGCTGAATGTATTAAGCCGATTCCTTACCTTTTCAGCTTCAATCTGATTACATTTTTACGACTGTGCAATCCTGTTCTGCCATATTTTTCTTTAAATGAAATATACACACTACAAAATACGGCTGATTTCGAGTTGCCGATAATAGAACAGCTGGTTAACACGCAGTTCAAATGGAAAGGGTGCCGAAGAAAAAGAGACTGCCGACAATAGTCACACTCACCTGAGAAGTTTAGAGCGTTGTAAAAACATGTTCAACCCGTTTTGATCAATTCTGTCGATGGGAATTGGTAGAACAGCAAGCAGCAGATAAATGTCAACAAACAAACCTGTCATGTATGTGTGTGACGCTGAGAAATCGCTAATAGAAGTTCGGACGCTGCTTAGATTGACGAGAATACGTAAATTCCCCTACTTATTTATCACTTTAATAAAGTTAAAAAAAAAACTTTCTTAATTTGAGTAAGTCCAAGATCTAAAAATATGCAATGTGTTGAAGTTTTGTATTCCATGTATAAGTTCAAGATACTGAAAATTTTCAAGGTGCTTAAAAGTTCGTAATTAACTTTATGGAAGATTAGAGATCTTCATTGCAGTCCCATCAACTTCAGAACAAATGTAGGAAGTTTGGAGAATTTCTGAGGAATAAAAGGAAATGCTGAGAATCCCTAATAAAAATAACCATAAAAGAGAGCTTAACGACGTGTTCGGGGTATCATCCAAACCAATTGTGGGATAGTTTACCCATCCGGGATACAGTTCGTTTGTGGTATTTGTTTATTAGGGATGTCAGTGAAGCTCCATAAATAAACTGCGGGAACATAAGGGAAGGTAACACGCTGAACATATGGGGAACTTACTGGAAGCTGTAAGAACCTCAAAGCGATTCTTTTGGCATCCGAGACTTTTCAGGAACTTTTATGAAGTTCCTAGAATTTCAGAGAATTTCGCAGGTGTAAAGCGAACTTTAAAGGTATTGTGCAAATTTTTAAGAAGTTCTAAGCACCTCAGAAAAGCTAGACAGATTAAAAC